TATGTATACCATTGTGTACATAGATTATGTACAACAAAAGTAATCCAAATTCCGGTTTGGTCCGAATTTTAATTCAATTTAAAGTCAAACAATTAATATTAACCACATCTTTTATAAGTCCTACAATTTTTCAATCACACATTTAAAATTTTTTATCAAAACATACCAAAAATCTAATTTTAAGCTAGACCAAACACCGTAAAATATCTAAAGCGTGGGGCAGCGTCAGCTGAATATAAAAAGTTCTACGTTTGCCCACAGCCCAATACACCACACTTTTCTCTCTAGGGTTTCACTATCCTCAACTGTCCCTCTCTCTGTATATGTACATACACAACTTATACATATATTATCCGGAAGTTGCCCATCCGAGCTACAGCAATGGCAGATGAGGTGCAGTACGCATCGGGAGGTGGTGAATCTAACAAGCGCAAGTACGAGGACAACCAGACGCCGCCGCCGCCCGTGCCGCGGAGGCCGACCGGGTTCTCGTCGACGCCGGAGGTCGCCGTACCGCTTCCGTCGTACAACACCGTGCCGCCTCCGATGAATGAAATTGAGCTGGCCAAGCAGAAGGCCCAGGAGATTGCAGCCAGGCTCCTCAACAACGCGGATGCCACCAAGAGGGCTAGAGTCGAGAATGGATCTGGTATCGGAGGCTATGATTCCAATGATGGGGGCACAGGCTTCTCATCTTCTCCTTTCCCGCCCTCTGGTGCGATTTCTCCAGCTTTCTCTATATCTTTTCCTCTTAAGTGTGTTGTGTTATTTCTAGCTCTTTCATTCTGTTTATACCCATAAAATTTGCACGTGTATCAGAACATAGGAAGTCACCTTTGTATTTATACGTCATAGAACTATGTGTTTGCGAGTATGCACTCCCCCATATTTGCTATTTTCGAAATGTTGGTTAATTTAACTTGCTTTCTCTTTATCTGTACTTGCACGCTTGCCGGTATACTTGTCTTTTTGCTTATCTGTGTAACTGGAAATGTAATTGTTAAATCGACTTTGTAAATTCCTTTTCATGCTAATATTTGGCCAGTCTGGGTACATATAAACTCACATATATATGTTCAACAAATTACATATTTTATCTCTACCCACAAATGTTAATGCATATGCAGGTGATGGATTACTTAGCTTTAGTAAGTTGTCCACTTTATGTTGGGTGTAAGTGCTTATTTGTAGTTTGGTAAGTATGGATGGACAGTGGCAGAACTACAAATTTGTTTGAATGGGCAAAAATTAAGTAACAATTTTTAATTTTTTAATTTTTTTTTTGGAAAAAGTGTGCAATCTTAGTGGTTTCATTGCAAAATAATCTAAGGGCGTGTTTGTCTCCCATTATTGGGAGAAAAGTAGAGTAATGAATAATATTTTTTGGAGAATGTGTGGTTGAAATTTAAAGTAACTTTATTGGCTTGTGTGTAGAATATTTTATTGGGTGAATGTGTGGTGGAGAATCTTACTGTAGTAAACAATTTTTTGGAATAATGGTAGACAAACATGGGCTAAATATGGACGTACTTTGACACAGAATTTAGACTGAAATTTTATAATAAAAAATGAGGGATAAGCAAGTGTTAATGCATGGTGGATTGAATAGCTTTAGTAAGTTGTTCACCTTTATGTTGTGTGTGCGAGCTTTTGTACCTTGGTAAGTATGGATGGACAGTGGCNGTAAGTATGGATGGACAGTGGCAGACCTGTGGAATTTTGTTTGGAGGGGCACTAGCATTTTTTTGTGGGGAAACTACGTGCAATCTTAAGTAGTAAATAATCACATAGCCAACAAACTAAATATTGACACTTTGACACTGAAGTTAGATTGAAAGTTTGTAATAAAAAATGTGGGATAAGCAAGTAGTTTTCTTTTTCTTATTAGTATCTTTGTTGTGTTTGTACATGTGTTAGATAACAATAGTACAAGTTAGAGGCCTGGTAAACGACACTACGATTGTGAAAATTCGTAGTATAAATTTTTTTTTTTTT